AGATGGATGGATGGATGGATGGATGGATGGATGGATGGATGGATGGATGGCAAGCCTTTGCTGTTGTCCGACATGTCATATGTTAACTCTTCCAGATTTACTCTGGGCCATCTGTGGCTCTGTGTAATTCTAGGCTTCGTGGTGCTGCGATGGTTGGTGCTGAAGAGTGGAAGGCAAGCCTGGCCCATTTTTCATGCAGGCGGGAGGTGTGCGTGTGTGGGGAAAGCCATCTTCGATGGAGTTTGGTCTCTTGTGAGAGGAGGACATCTGAAAATGGCGGCGTCCCCCACCTCAGAGAGATTGTGTTGGTCCCGGACACTTAATACTGTCGTTGTTAAGCAAAGTGTTTTGTTCCTCTGTGTCTTTTTTCCCCCACCTCCTCCATGGTTATCACATGCTTTACTGATGGTTACACCAGGATATATCCCTTGTTAGAAACTCCGTTAGCTATCCTTAGGCAAATCAGCTTGATTAATGAACTATTAAATAGCAAGATTCTGTGTTTGTCAATATAGTTTTAAGGTACCTGGACTGAAGGAGGTGACAGATCCAGAAATCAAATCAGTATTCTTCTTGTAAGCCATTGTAAACAAGCTGTCAAGCATCACTATGGGCTCCTTTGAAACAGCTTTAATGAGTAAATAGAGAGAATAAAACCAGAAAGACAGTGTCAAAAATGTAAGCCCAAGATAATTGTTGTTCTTTTTCTTTCTTCAGCCTATTATATTGCTTGAGGTGGTGGTAGCTGTATTTCAACCGCCCAATAAGCAAATTTTCCCTAGTCTTGACTTAGACAATTTTGACATAATTTGGTCAAAATCTAACACTTCTAGTGTACATATTGCTGCTTTTCAAGAGCAAGGAGCTGGAAAATGTTTGAATTGCTCCCTGATTCCGATACCTGTGACTTTAGAAGGTCTGCACAGGATAGGTAAAAAGCTTATTTAAAATCAAAAATAGAAAAAAGTGTGCGTAGAATTGTATTTTAGCAAAGAAGAGCCTCTGAATTATGTTCTCCTACTAGGTGTCCGCTTTCTTCTTTTAAGTCACTTTTTGTGGATGAAGAAATCTGCATTTTATGGAAGGTAAAAAATACATCCAAACATATGTAATTTCTGTACTTCAGGCTGCCAGGAGAAGCATTCTTTTTTTTTTTCTCTTCCTGTCAGTTAACTCCAGGTTTCTTACCCACGGCTTTGGTTGTTGCCGAGTTAATATCCTTTGGTGCCTGCCTTCAAATGTATTTGGCTGCCTGGTTTACAGTTGATCTGTTCCCATTTATTTTATTTCATTTCTAATTTTCCCGTTAAAGAGCTCCTTACTGCTTAACGGTGTTGTGCATTCCCCCCCCGCCCCGGTCGGCGGCACTGGTGGCGGCAGCGCCTTTGCAGGTGCGCTGGGACGCGGCTCGCTCGCCGGATTCCCGCGAGTGGGCCTGGCTGGGGTTGATAATGAGCCTCCGATAGGAGGGAAAAAAGTTGTCAAGTTTGGTCGCTGTTTCTCGCTGAGATCGAACAGCTTGTCTTTTCTTTTGAGGAACGTTTAAACTTAACACTCGGTAGGCAAACTGCTATTTCAGTTTGCAAGTGGATTCGGTTATTCAAATGCACAGGCCAGAAAATGAAGGGGATTCTATTTAAACAGTGTGCTCCCGAGTCACAGATGATCTTTTTGATGTCTGTATTTTGCAAATGGAAATTTTCCATTTTCCAGCGCTAGCATTTGTTCAGAGGCTGTGTGCTATCTAAATCTGCTTTTGTGGCTGTTCATTTGCATTTTTGCTGTGCTATATTGCCTCCCATCTTCTCCCCTTGGCCCCCCAGTCTTTCATATCGAATTCCTATTTTTGCTGCCTCCACTCTATCTCGCATCTCCAAAGGCTCAATCACGCAAGGCACTGAGCGCTCGGAGCAAATAGCAGAGACTGCTCAGCACCTCGTCAGGATTACAGGTGGAAAGGGAAATCCAAGCCATCTGCGTATTTAAAGACTTTTGCTGGGAGAAAGCGCAGGAGGGTGGTGGAGCTGTCACCCGCTCAGGTAACAGTCCGGCTTCTCCTGCAGCTCCCGACCTTTTCCTAGCTGCCAGAACTGTGGGCGTTACTGGCCAGTGCATCTGCCGGGGGGGGGTGGGTGGGTATGGAAATCTTGTGCTGAAATTTTATAGCATGATGTGAAATACTCATGGTAGTCAGGTGGCATAGCCAAAATGGTCCTTCCTGGACTTAAAATAATGGCCACAGCAAACCCAGCATGATCTTGGTCAGACTATGTGGTTTTGTGCTTCTTTAGCATTTCTTTTTTATTTCGCCCTGTACACATGGCTTCTTTCTTCCCCCAAATCTGGCGACATTCGTTTCTACAAGCAAAGCGCTTAGCAAGAAAAACTGCGTTAATATCCTGAGGGGAAAGTGAGAAGGTGGGGAGAGAAGCACAACAACTTAATTCTGGCAGTTGAAAGAACAATCTGAAAGTTGTCAGGCTCAAAGTATCACCTACCGTCAAGTAATCACTGTTCACTTCTGCAGATCCCAACCCTCAAACAGTCTGTTTCACCCTCGGGGAAAGCGGGGAGGGGGGAGAAAAAAGGGCGTAAGCAAGAGTATCACTGGAGCATCGCGCACTACCCTGAGAGGCGGTGTATTTAAAGCTGAGCAGCAACAAAAACCCAGCATAGCGCTGGAAGCTGGGAGTTGCAGGCTTCCCCTCCCGTTCCCATCTTTCTTCTTCTTCGTTCACCTCCACTGTGAGCTTCCGAGGGACCACGCGGTCCTGGCCGGCTTGGACTTTGGTAGGAATTGAAAATACTCAACAGTTTACCCAACCTGGCCTTTCTTCTGAACCTGCTTTGACAGGTTTGGCAGCCGGGGCGGTGGCAGTGCTCCGCAGTGCTCCTCTGGATGGGCAAGAGTGCCCGGTTAATGCCCACATGGTGCACTGGGAACGGGGCACTCGGTTTGCAGAAGTATTTCTCCTGAAAGTGGAGGCAAATACCTGGGTAAGCATGGCACGTTGTTCCCGCTGTATGGCACAGCACTGGTGCCTAAATGCCAATAATTAATAACTGTTAATGCCCGGTGATGAAAGCACAGTGTATCTGTGTAGTATACACAGATTTATAGGTGGTATTTGGATCATGCATACGGCATCACAGCATCACAGAATCACAGAATGGTAGGGGTTGGAAGGGACCTCTGTGGGTCATCTAGTCCAACCCTCCTGCCGAAGCAGGGTCACCTACAGCAGGCTGCACAGGACTGCGTCCATGCGGGTCTTGAATATCTCCAGAGAAGGAGACTCCATAGCCTCCCTGGGCAGCCTGTTCCAGTCCCGCACAGCCCATTTTCTTCAGCTGCGTTCCTTTTCTCGTGCACTACCTGGCGCTGGGGCGGTTGCAGGAATCCCTAACAAACCCCTCCACTTATGAGAACAGCAAACTGCCCGAGCGAAGCGTGATGTTTCCATGTTCCTGTCATGTGCAAGCACGTGCCCGCAAACCGAAACACAGCTGGCAAGTCTAATTTTAGCTCTACCAGCCTTGAGAAGTGTCCCTTTAAAGAAATTCTTTTTATATTTCTTTTTTGTTGTTCTGGAGCAATTTGGTTGATAATACAGCAGCTGACAATCCCGCTGCAATACTACCGATCATTTGAATAAAAACAAAAAGAAACTGCTGCCCCACATTCCCGCCCCCCCTCGAATTTATAAATAGGCAAAGCCACTGTAGGAAGGCCCAGGAATTTGATGACGTGTTAAAGGAATAAGTGATTAACAAAAAAAAAAAAAAAAAAAGCCACTAAGCGAAAGTCTATAGTTTCTGTGCAAGTTCTTCTGCAACAGGGAGCTTTTACTTCAGCCACTAGCATTATCAGAGAAGAAATTTTGCTCCTCTGATTTTCCAAAGCCAGAAAAGCCAAAAGTGTTTCATTTTTAAAACTGTTGTATTTAGACATTGTCACAAGAAATCATGTTCCAAAATATCTTTGCTATTGCAGCTGCTATTTAATAAAGTGCAAATAATAAGTAATAGCTCTCTAAGCACAGAAAATGTGAAGCTTTTATTATATATCCTTATAAAACTTTAGAGCCAGGTTTAAAGACAAATTCTAAACAGGTTTAGAATTTGTGACACTACCATTGAGCTCAGCCTTCATTTACGAAATCATAGCTAAGAGCAAAGGTTCTGTTCACAGTTGTTGAGCCCTGTTACATTTTCTTGCCAAGGATTTCTGTAAGTGAATGCACAGGTATGACAAGGAAGGGGTGTCAGGGCAGCTGGATAACTAAAGAGCTACTCTCATCTGTCCCTGCAGACCCACTACTCCAACCCAAATCTCTGCGCTTCAGCAAAAAGTCCACACATTGGGAATGAGCAAAGAAATAAGCCAGTATATAGGGTCAGTCTAATGTTACATTTTTATAGCTCTTTTCATTCCCAGAGGATCGTAACTGTAAAGGCTGTATCCACCCCAAAGTCCCCCCACCACTGCTGGAATCCGGCAGTTTGCTGCAAAGGAACTGTTTAGCTGCATAAAATGGCGCTGCAGCAATTTACAGCCAGGAACACAGGTGTCTGACAGAAAGAATTGTGGGGAGCTGTGCTGCAGTTATGCAAACTGGGATCTCTCTGTGCTTCAGCAAGGACCGAGACTTCACGGTGAGAGCAGACAGCTGTGACCCTGGCACAGAGGCCAGGCGCGATCCAGCCCTGGTGTGAAAAGGCAGCAGGCTTCACGGACAGCTAGCCCTGTTGTGCTGCGTGGGGGCTGTCCACACAGAGCGGCCCACCAAAACTCTGAGCTGGTTGTGCCCTTCTCAGCATGCAGCCCCAAAGAGCTTGCAGCCTGAGGCAGCGTGGCACCAGGCACCGACTGCCATGAGCTGCCTGAGACCGCAGCGTCAATCAAATGCCAAAAGCAGAGGGAGAGGCTGTCAAACCATAATTTCTGCTGATGTGAGGAAGCTGCTGGCTGAAACGCCAGCCAGAAGGACTCCACCTACATGGGCAAACGCCTGGACCAGCAGCCAATGTACCCCCAGTACACCTACTACTACCCCCACTATCTCCAAACCAAGGTAGGGCACGGCGGGGCCGGGTGTGGGGGGCCCGGCGCCCCCGGTTCCGCGGGCTCTCGCCGCTTCACTTCGCTTCGGTGGGGTTTGTGGGGGTTTTTTTACCGTTCGGTGTCACGCAGAGCCGAGCTGGTAGGCAGAAAGCAGGCTCGAGAGAGGCAGGAAGGTTGCTGTCTGCGCTAGTTTCTTTATTTATTTGAATTATTTTTTTTTTTTTCCTCCCACCCCCAAGGGCTGCTGGCTTTGGCCAATTCCTTTTATTGTTCGGGGAGACCGGTGCGGTTAACGCTATCGTGACACCGGGCAGGTAGCGTGTTTGTCGCGGCACAGGATAAAGCTGGCTCTGGACAGCATCAGACACGCAGCCCTGTTTTAGCGGCCCTTCCAGGGATCTGTGCAGCGTGTGCGGAGCTCGGAAGCCTTGTGCTGCTGGCAGAGCTGTCTCTGGCAGCTCAAACTTTTCATCAGCTGAGGAGGAGATGCGGTGGAGCTCGGGGGAGAGCTCGGAGCTAACCCACTGCAAGCCTGGCAGAGTTTGTTTCAGTGCGTCGTGCTGCTTTTTGTGTTTTGTTGAACATTGAGGGTGGTACGGCTGTGCTCTGTTGCATTTAAAAGGTGTAGAAATAGAGGGTGGCTACTTTTGGAAAGCATGTCCAAGCGCGGACTCTTTCTTTCTTCTTAATATTTTTTGAAATGCCAGCAGACTGGGAAGCAGGCCTGCATTTCTTAAGGAGCCTGAGTGAAGTCGATGCTACCTGGCCGTGAGATAGTTAATTAAAGCTTGATTTTTATAATGCCATTGTATAATAGTCTGCTCTCTGAAAAGATTTCCTGTGTGACCGAGGGACAGTAACAAAAGAAATCCCTAAACTGAAAGTTTGCAAACCCAGTTACGACATTCTATTAAAAAAAAAAAAATACAGGAGAAAAAAAAAAAGAAGACGGGGGAAAACCCTTGTTCTTAAGTGTGACCTCACAGCTACAGATGAACGGTTTCAGTCAATAAGCTAACGTCCTTTAGGGGTAAAAAAAAAAAAAAAAAATAAATAGGCAGGGCGCACACACGTGCGTATGGCACTGCGTACGCGCACACACACACCGCGCTTCTGTGGCAAATTTAACACATGGGACATCCGAGGCGTGCGTCTGCGTGCGGTGAGGTGCCACAGGGGAGGCTGACTTCTCCAGACTTTGGGTTTGGAGCACATTGAGCTGGCTGCCGCTCTGAAAGGATGAGTTATTTTTCCTTGTTAATGAAATTACTTTCCCGTTAACGTTTATAGCCCGACTACTGCATTACATAAATTAACTAATTGTCAAAACTGTGATTCAGGCTGGTTGGAGTTGCGATGACACCAGAACCACTCAATGTGATTACAGCCGTGTAATTCATGGCAGGGTTACCTCTCGCCTCTTTGCTCGGCTGTCTTTCACTATATCATGCAGATTTTTTTTGTATAAAATGTAGCCTTTTTTGATTTTGCATTTTGGAGTGATTTTTATCGTAGCTTTTTTCCCCCCTTCCTTTCAAGGTCGATCCAAATAGCGTTTTACCTTTGTGACCGTTTAGCGTGTATTGTTGCTGTTGCAGCAGCAGCCTGTCGCTAGCTCGACTGCAATATTGCCTATAGCTTTAACTGTTTGGGGGATTGGGGGATGCAGACTGATGCTATTCCTCAAAACCTGGCAAGCCAAGGACGTGAAACAATTGATGGTGTTTTTTTGAAAGAACAATAGCCTCGAGTGTTGAAGGAGAAATATTGGACATTCCATGCCTTTTACTCACGTAGTTTACGTTTTGCCAGTCTTATTTTTTTTTCTTTTTTACTCATTTTTTTATAACTTTGTGAAATAAGGTTTTTGAGGAAATTAACCTTGTATTAGAGCTTAAAATAGTAACAATAGGTTTTCTGTACCGTGGCTTTTTTTTAACCCTGTTCTTTAAAAAATAAATTAAACACACTTTTATAGCTGGTATATAAAATTATCAACACTGTGGAAAGTCATGTGCATCTGTCTTTGCCCACATGCGCTCTTGCTGTAAGGATGGGTAAAATTTCAAATCGGTGATATGTTTTATGTGGCATTAATTTTTCTTTTTTTCCTTGCTCCACAGTGAAGTGCATATATAAAACCTTAATATTAAACACATATACACAAGCATATATATACAGACGCATACAAGTATTTCTCTTCTATAGACTTTCAGAGTACAGAGCAGTGCAGACAAGCAGCATCTGGATTTTGTTACCTTAAAGCTAGCCATCAGCTTCTGGGACATTTTAAAGCAGTTAGATCCATTGTATGTCTAAAGCTAATAGTCGGGTAATCAAATAATGTTGCGGTGGAGAGCTGTATCTTTTATCATGCCTGTTGGAGCAACACATATTAATAAAGCCCTGTATGATTCCAGCCGTCCTGTGAACTCCAGCTTTTTATTTCCCCAAAACTTCCCTTTGTACTGAGCAGGGTAGGATTCGGCTCTGCAGAAAGAATGTGTTTTTATGCTCATAGTCATGCACGCTGCTGGGGGGGGTGGTGCATTCATTTATAATTAAGAAAGAAATCCTAGGCTCTCTTATGGCATTTGCGTACAGCTTGTGAAACGCGGAGTGGCAGCGCGTTCAGCGGGCAAAGTTTGGAAACCCGCGTTCCCCAGTGCGTGCAGCGCTGCTTTTGCTTCGCTTGTTTGGTGAAGTTGTCTCAGTTCGCCTTCGAGAAGCGCCGCGTTACTGTACAGCGCGTCCTGCTCGCGGGGAACACGGGGCTGCGCAGGATCTCCGGCCGCGCGCTGCGTTTGTGTCTTCTAATGTAGCTGGCACGTTGTAGTGCAGAAATGGTGTGAATGAATAGCTATAGGGGTAATGGGATTATAAATAGAAGAAATGGGTTCCGTATGTTTGATTGCTTGAAGTCTGTAGTGTTTTCTGGCCTTTTGTGGAACATGAAGCACGCGCTATTATTGTTCCATTTACTTGTGCTCCGTCATTATCAGATGCCACCACTGAAGCTAAAACTTTAATTGCAGGTTTAGACAAACCCGTTGTCATCCAAAAATGAAGAGTGGGGCGAAGGTCAATTTTTAAGAGACAATTGCAAGGAATTTAATATGTCTCTTAAGGGCGAGCACAGAGTTTGAGGACAGACATAACCGTATTTTTCTCGTTTTGGCATGAGGCTGTCTGACAACTGCAGTTTGAAAGCGCAGTGTTGGAACTTCTTTAGGCAGATCCTGAGGGCAGGGGCCAGTTGCCCTAGGAGTTTATTTCAGAATAAACATTTCTGGTTACTGTTCTAAGTGAATGAGAGTCTTGTGTTCTTGTCGCAGAGAACGTTGCAGGGATGTAGTTCAGCTCATGTATATCTGATGAGAATCTATAGTAGTTTTTTATTTTATTTTGAGGTGTTAAGTGAAGTTCCTGAGTCGCATCCTTGCTGATGACGTAACTGCTCAAACAACTGGTTTGCAGGAGTTTGTAAACTGTCACATACAAAATGATAATGATGCCAAATCTTGCGTTGTGCTCTGAATTTATTTCTTCTGTTTCTTGCTTGCCAAAGCAAATTCTTTTCTCTCTGACATTTTGCACAGTGGAAAACAAAACTAAGCACCATGAAATATCGTGTGATGATATGAAAAAGGGGGAAAAATTAACCAAAATATTTGAAAGAGTCTCTTTAATGTAGTAAACACTGCATTTTATCTTTGTCCTCTGCAGCTTATGGTTAGACCTAACGCTGGGGTGAGCTCTCTCTGCAAAGCCTACTGAAAAAACCTGAATCACTTGGGGAGAAAGGAGGAGGTTCCACAGTTACCTGCCGATGGGAATTGTTTCGGTTACAATCGCTGTACCTGCGTCTGGGGTAGAAATATGCTAGTTCAGCAGCTATTCCACACAGTTTGCTTTCCTGTGTTCTCAAGGTATTCCCTACCCATTAGTTGTGGTTTGGGTTTGGTAGTTCAACTCTTCTGGTGTTGACTCCGCTACCCAATCAGTTGGCTGAAGTACCCCAAAAGGTGAGGTGACATTTACTGTACCCACAATACCTCTGCATCTCTGCATGCCTGATGTGCATGGGAATGCATGCAAAAGGAAGAAGGGTGATTTCCCAATGCCTATGTGAATAAAATCCTGTCTCTGCAAGAGGTGAAAAGTGTGCAGACAGGCCCACAGGCAAGAGTGGCTTAACGAGTGTGTTGGTGAAGTGACAGATATGTGCCCCAGCTGAGGGAAAAACAATTGGGAAATTCAAGCAGGTGTACTTGGACAAGTTTAAACTTGAAATCAAGTCGTTTTATGGGTATATGGTTGGGGGCGTGTATGCGTTTTATTTCCTTTTTGCCATTTTTAGGGCATCCTTTGGCACGACGGGCTCGGGGACCTCTTTCAGGTGCGTGCCACGAGCATTCCTCACTCCTCGCTCCATCAGCCTCTTTTAGAAAGTGTATTTTTGGAACTGGCGCAAAACTCTTGCCTCTCTTCACCTTGTACCTACCAATCCCGTGCTCTTTTGTCACTCACGTTTCTGTTTAGCGACTTTACTGCATTCCCCGCTTTTGGCCATCTGGCCGTACAGAAGGCCTTGAAGAAAGTGTTCCAGATACGGAGATGCCTGACAGGGCTTCTCTGGCTGGTGGTGTTCAGCTTGTGTTCGGTGCCTGGTGTGAAGCAGGGGTCAGGTGTAAGGAGTAATTCATCAACCACACACTGATTTCAGGCTGCATTTCCAACCATCTGCAGCTTGGACTGCTGCCAGAGCTCAAAAGTCTAGCTGGAGCCCATGTGATCGTGCCAAAGTAAAGGCAAACGCTTGCAAATAGAGAAATGCATTTCTAGGAATGAAGTTCGTTCGCACTTAGCCCCTGTTTGATTCAGTGCGCCGCAGTGCATTTTAAGTGCCTCCGAGAGCTGCCCGAAAGAAACATGAATTCGTTTAAATGCCGTTTAAAAATATTTAAGCCTGGCTGTAATTTTGACAGTAATACTAATAGATAACGCTAG